TTGCTGGAAGTGGATGAAAACCTATCCTTTCCTATTTTTTTTTTTTTTTTTCATTTCTTGCTTAGATTTTTCTCTTTATTACATTCTCTCATCCATCCCTCACATCTAGACAGAGGAAACGGTCGAATGCTCATTCTTTCCTTTTTTTTTTTTTTTTTTTTCATTTCTTGCTGGAAGTGGATGAAAATCTATCCTTTCCTATTATTTTTCTATTTTTTCATTTCTTGCTTAGATTTTTCTCTTTATTACATTCTCTCATCCATTCCTCCCATCTAGACAGAGGAGACGGCTGAATGCTCATTCTTTCCTATTATTTTTCATTTTTTAAATTTCTTGCTTTAATTTTTTCATTTCTTGCTTTAATTTTTTTCTCTATTACATTCTCTCATCCATCCATCTCGTCTCGATAGGGGAAGTGGATGAAAACCTATCCTTTCCTATTATTTTTCTATTTGTTTATGTCTTGCTTCTATTTTTTCTCTCTATTACTTCCTCTCTCATTCATTCATCGCTCTCGTCTCGACAGAGGAAGTGGCTGAACGCGTACAACGAGAAGTGTCGCCAGCTGACAGGCGAGGAACTACGGCGGCAGGGCCAGACCGCGGCGCACGAATGGCTCATGCGCAAGACAGAGCCCATCCCGGACTACCCAGAGTGTACGGCTAGTGGCGGCGCATCCGCGCGCCCGACTCTGCTGCTGCTGCTGCTGGCGGGGGTCGCCGCCGCCGCCGCGCGATCGGTGGCAGAACGCGTCGCCGCCGCGTAACGCTGGCGAACGGTCCGGTGTTTTTTTTTGTACGGTTTCCGGATCGGGGATGGGTCGATTCGGTTGGTCGCCGGTTACGTCGCCTTTCGTGTCCCTGTGTTTTGTAAAGAGAGTTGGATGGCGATGATGATGACGATGATGATGACAACGATGACGACGACGATGGTGCTGGGGGGAATTATGACGATAACGATTTTGATGATGATCGAAAAGATCATGACAAAATGAGTGACATTGCAGAAGACAATAATGATGACAACAACGATGACGATGATGGTATACTGATTCCGACGATAATGACGAAGAATACGATAAAGATAACAATGACGAAAACGAAGACGATAATGCGCATGATGATCGATACCAGAGTGATGCTAGGTGA